AAAAGTTTTGTGGTTCCTCTGTTTTGTGACCAGCGACCGCTAACGCAAGCATGTTCTACTGCATAGGCGCACAAACTCCCACAAGGCCTGGACCCAAGGGACCAACCCCATCATCCAACGATCTTCATACACTTCATCGAACGGCAACATGACCCACCAGAAACAATCTGGATCCTCGAGAGCCAACCAGAAGGAGTCAAATACCCCTGATAGCCATGCTCATGACCGGCTTGTCTTCTTATTCGCTAGCTTCACTGTAAGCCCAGTCGCACCATCATACCCGTCGATTGATTCTAAACTGCTATCTAGGGCCTATACACCACCATTACCACCAAGTCCGGAGAGAAGTTTACCGGCATCTTCTCTTCCTCGACCATGGAGCCTAACGAACTTTCGTTCCTGCTCAAGATGGTCCAGCGAACATCGCAGGAGGGCCAACCCCGGGCAAACGGCGTCAGCGATGTCGCAACTCCGTACATAGGCTCCCCGCCAGAGCACATCATGTCGTTCGATATCAAGGATGTTGTCGACATTGCAGTTCCAAATGTTACCACAGCCGAAGTTTCAGCCAAGGAACCAAACGGTACGGCTTGCATTATTTAGTCAGATTCGTTTGTGTATATACTAATCTAGACCACAGGTGCCTCCCAGGGTTTCAGAACCGACAGTGATATCTCCGGAAACCTAGCCATGCGAGAGCGCACCTTGCAGCGCTGGGAACCTGCTGAGACTGACATTGATATGTCACTTGAAACGAGCGACACTTCTGCGGGATGGGACCAGTTCGAGGCAAATGAGCGTCTTTTCGGCGCCAAGACCAACTATGATGAGAACATCTACACCACTCGCCTCGACCGTTCGGATCCCAACTACAAACAGAAGCAGGCGGAGGCAGCTCGGATCGCCCGTGAGATCGAAGGACAAGATGTGGATAACTCCCACATGCGCGAGGAGCGTGGCCTTGTAGCACCGGATACTGGCGATCAAGACGAAGAAGACAAGTACAGCGGTGTTCGCCGCGAAGACAAAGCCTTCCCTCCCCTGCTTTCCGGCCAGCCAAACAAGTACATGCCCCCCGGCCGCCGACAGGCAGCTCCCCAGCCTGCTGCGACTCCCAGCGCATCCACCAAACAGCCTGTTGCTTCTCCGGTCCCAACCGCTCCTATCCCCATCCCCTCTCAGGCTGTGGCAAAGGAAGCTGCACCCTTAGACCAGCAAGCTGAGCTGGTCGCATCTCTGCAACCCACAACAGATACCGAGCAGAAGAGTGCCTTGGGCAAGGGTGTCACCCCCCCAGTATCTACTGCATCCCCCGTACCAACTGCAAAGCGGACTGCGCCTGAAAATGCGACCGCAAACGTGGAGGTCGAGGTGCTTGATCACTTCCGGCAGTTCGCAAATAGCGAGAAAATCAAGATGCAGGAGCGTCGTCGCAACCAGGCCTCATATGACCGGACCATGAAACTCAACGAGCTGATGAAGTTTTCGAAGACCTTCAAACTCTCGACTCCGGTGCCGAAAGACCTTGTTCCTATCCTAGCAAAGGACCGGCTAAAGCAAGAAGCAATCATGCAACGAGCGCTGCAGCAGGGAGACGACAAGGCCATGCCGAAGGTTACTACATCCCCCACAGAACAACAGCCACCTGCTCGTGGTGCTGGACCTACTGGAGCTGTGCCACCATCTGCACCCGCTGATCGTCAAAACTACAACCGCACTCGTCAGGGCTATCCTCCCACTGGCCCGCTCGCTGGCGCCGCTGGGAGATTCCCTCAGCAAGTTGTCCCGCCGGGACGTCCTGGTGTTGGTATGCTTAGCCACCGACTAGCGGATAATCTGCAGCAACGAAAGGGCGCGGGTATGGGACCTGTTCCCACTCCTCTTCCCATTCAAGATGCCCGTGGACCCCCGACTGGTCCTGCCAGTGATCAGCAGAGAATCACCAGCCCTGTCAAGTCGCAGGCCGGGTCTTCCGCGGCAACCAAGTTCAATGTTAAAGCTATGGAGTTCAAGCCAAACCCCGCAGCGAGCACTTTCACGCCTGGTACCTCCGGAGCTGCTGCAAGCCCACGGCCTTTCTCTCGCAACCGCTCTGTGTCCCGCGCCACCACTCCCACTGCATTCTTTGGCCCAAGGAAGCCACTACCTATCTCTGAACGACCCTCGATCAGTGACCAATTCAATCCCATCAAGCGCATGAAGAAGGAGAATGCAGAGACCACTGAAAAGTTGATTATGTTGAATGGAGGCATCCCACCACCCTACAAGACTTTGCCGACTTGGGACATTGCGGACGGCAGCGAAGACAAGACGTACGATCAGATGTTCAAACAGCCTGTCGGCGTGCCGACAGTATCGCCCCAGGGCCGGTCCGTCTCTAACAACACCAATATTCCCCAGCAGCATCAGGTGCCCTTCCATTTCCAACAAGGTAACTCAGCCCTGCCGTCATCTTCTGGTCCTTCGAATGGACCCCATGGTCTTCACTCTCAGGGCCCCCATGGCCACTCCCATGTGGATGATCATCACCGCATGCAGTTGTCCGCGTCGAACTCCCAGGTTTTCCCGTCCCCGCGGATGCAACATGGATACCCGTCCCCTATGGCTCCCCATGCCCAGCTTTCCTTCCCACAACCGGTCCCGCAATTTTACGGTGGGCCCCAACCCGGACATATGAGACCTTTCCAGGGTGGTGGTCCTCAGTTCGTGAATGGCGCTCCTATGATGGTGCAGCAGGCCTCAAATGGACCCTACATGGGAGTCCCGCAGGGCATGACTCCGTATAATGCACAGATGCCCATGTACTCCCCGAACCCCGGCCACGCCTATCCCCAACATACACCTCAGCCTCATAGTGGGTACCCAAGCCCGAGCCGTGGTGCGCCGATGATGATGCACCAGAACTCGCAATCTGGGCAGCCTCCTCAATCAATAATGTTTATGCCTGGCCAACCCGGATACCCTCAGCAGTCGGGACATAGTGAGTGTGGCTACAGTCCCCCATCAAGCATCTCCAGTTTTTAACCAACCCAGTGCCTCCCAACCGTGGCAACTACCCCCAGCAGCCTCACTTTTCATCAAGTCCTCATCAATCGCATCATTTCCCACCTAACCAGCATCGGACACCCAGCAACGGCTTCAATCAAATGCCTCAAATGCCACCCCAGATGGCTGCCAATACCCCCGCCACAACCCCTGGAGCTTCTCACCCGGCCGAGGCCACGGATGAAGGAAAATGAAGTACACACTACACGAATCATGAAGCCGTGATCGGTTCCCTCGAATGACGCTACATATTATCGCTTAGCTGTGACTTGTCCGCGCTCTGCATTATTGGCAACCGCCAACTCAAATACCCCGGTTACTCTTCCATGACCGCGTCTTCATCTGTTTGCCCGTCACCGACGCGGTCAGCATTTGAATTCTGCGATGAACTTCATGTTGTCTCAAGGCTTGCTCGGTGAGTGAACGGTTCCGTGGTGTTGAGCAACATGCGCTAACTCTGTGACCAGACATGACAGATCAATCTATTAGTTGTGCCTATTTATTTCCAGATCTCGATCTGGTGGTGTACATGAAAACTGAATTTCTAGGCGATGAACCCATTGAAACTGAGCACTTGATATCCAACCTAGCGCATCGTCGTATGCCTACCTAGTGCACAACATCTCCACATGCGTCATCATCGAGCTGAAGTCCTGAAGATTTGTCTTTACTTGAGATGGTCTCTTCCTTCTGGTTTTCTCTTATCCTGTTTTCCTTTTTCTTCGTTTATCTCTTCTCTTCCTTTCTTCTCAGTTGTTGGTTGGAGGTTTGTGTGTTCCCTTGGTGGGCTCACTGGCCTTTGCACCTTCGATGGGGAAGTGAGGTCTGCGATGGGTTGCGTCTCGGCGTGGAGACGATGGTTGGTTGGTTGGATGGATGGTGATGTGGATGAAGGTGATCGGTCTGGGGGAGCAAGCGGAGCAGTGAGGTGTGGTTGAAGACGCGTGAACTTGATAGTAGACAGCTCCAACAGACCCACGCGCTCCTGGCAATGAAATGGTTATAGCATGAAATTTTCTATCATTCCGTGTAGATACAATATAGATACATCCAAAGTCACCACCTGTATCCATACTAAAGATCTAAATCCCTTAATGAATCCTAACCAAATACCGTCGATGTTACACAGCTGTTGCAGATGTCAGCAGCTGCAAATCGTCCCATCTCGAATGATTAACGAGTCAAGGTCATTGGGGGGCTTTTGGGGGGGGGGGGGGGGGGGGG